CACACACACACACACACACACACACACACACACACACACACACACACACACACACTGTTTCTCGATCCTTGTGGGGACTTTCCATTGACTACCAATCTTTTTTTTTTAATTTTATATCCCAACCATGACCACCAACCCTAAGGCTAACCTCACAGGTACCTACCTGACCCTAAAACTAACCTAAACTCAATTCACATCTTGGTCCTAAACCCAACCCCCACACCCGAAATCAACCTCCGAAGTTGTGGGGACCAAAGGAGCATCCAGTCCCCACAAGGCTGCATTTTCCTGAGAAATTGTCCCCACAAAGTAGCAAGAACAAGGCCACACACACACACACACACACACACACACACACACACACACACACACCAATCTAAGGAAGCCAGATTGTGTTGAATCATTTCATCACAGTCTCCCACCCTGAGCATCACATTGGCGACAGTGGAGAGGAAAAACTCCCTTTTAACAGGAAGAAACCTCCGGCAGAACCAGAACCAGGCTCAGGACAGGCGGACATCTGCCTCGACTGGCTGGGTTTGAGGGGACAGGAAAGAGAGACACATACAAACAGAAGGACTGGTTCAGGTGTATTTTCTTCTGGAAGAGAGGCAAAGAAAACATGTTACTGATAGAAATAATTACAACAAACATGTAGAGGAGAATGACTAAAACAGCAACAGAGTGAGGAAATGTGGTCAGTTTGTCCTCCAACCTTTCCACAGTATTCCTGAATTCACGCCACTTTCATAGCAGAAGTCGGTTTTAAATTTCCGCTTGCGCTGTTGTTTACAATTACGGGGATACACCATCACTAATTTTTTGGCCATTTTAACACGTTAGCTAACGTTTGGTGTGGATATATCTAAGAAGGATCTCCATCACATACTGAAGCCAAATGAAAAATCCAAGATGGTCGCCATATAGCTAAAATGCAAAATTACTCATTAATCAGCCATTTTTAGCCTGCTTCATTCTGGTTTCAAATGGGTTATATGAAAAATGAAAAAAAAAATCATTCAGGTGAGAGTGAAGAAAAATGATAAAACTATGTTCCACCCTTAATCTCTAAAACCACAGCAGCTGCTTTAATACTTACACTTCTGATGAAATCTCCTAAGTGTTAGTTTTATTTTGATACTAAGATTTTTAATTAGACTTTATAAATTCTGAGGTACACTCATTTACATTTCGTCATGGTATGTTGAGCAAAAACATCAAGAAAACCCCTTGGAGCTTAAGAAGTTAAAATAAAAATGTTAAATATTAACAAAAAAATCTGTTTTTCAATTACCATTTTAAATATAATTTATAACAATGTTATGAAAGGTCTTTTGCCATGCTCATCTTTCTGATTTGTCAAGTTTTAGATTTGAAAATAAAGGAAATTTTAAAGTGCTCACTGTGAGCCACATCCCAACCTGGCTCCAGTCTGCCTGACATTTTAAGACAGGTGTACAAGAAATGTAAAATAGCCACTTGTAAACAACTTAAAAATTTAATTAGGTGATCAAAATCTGATAGATATAACTTTGTTGACACTGAAATGCTGTGGACATTCTTATAATAGAGCCTAAATGAAAACAGAAAAGGGAATTAAAGCACATTTATTTATTAAATTTATTTATTTATACATTTGCTGTCCCATTTTTGGAGGCATTTACATGATGTCTTCATTATTTGGCAAGAATGTCTTTCATTTTGCTGCAACCATTCATGCTTTGTTTCGGGTTTGTTCCCACTCTCAGCACTAAACTTGAAAGCACCCAGGAAACTACAGGTGGCGGTCCTCCCGAGGTTAATAGTGACAGAGTTTGTTCAGTCTGAAGCTAGCAGAGCAATGGACAAGTTTGTGACAAAAAAAGGTCAAATGAACCGACCAGCAGCCCTGCTACGGAGGACACTGCGTAAAAAACTCCTGGCCAAGTAAAATGAGGCAGTTACATTTAGTATGGCTTTACAGCTATTCAATGTGAATAAAAGGGAGAGAAAAAACTTTCTAAAAAAATTTATATTTATTTACATATATTGATATATTTTATTGTCAACTTGTAAGGGGGTCCCCGGCCAAAAGCTAAAGTTGTTTGGGGGGCCTTGGCATGGAAAAGTTTGGGAACCCCTGGCTTAGCTGTTAAGTGTGTCAGCTCAGCTTCTCAACCGTGACAGACTGGGTCATTACTGCAGAGGAGACTTGACCCATTGATCTACAGCTCCATCCTATCACTCAGGACGAGACCCAGAGGTCCTGACTTTTTCCTTAAAAAACATTTTTTAGTAAAAACCTCTATAGAATCTCTATAAAGAAGTGTAGCTTGATTGGTTAGAAAACAGTAAATAAAAACAGCAAAGCAAAGTTTGTATGTTAGTTCTTTTAATTTTCATGAGTTTTGACACTGACAGGTTTCAACATGTTGTTCCAATTCTTCACAGTATTGCATTTTGCACAGTGTTTTACAGACTACAGAGTTCTCGAGTGAAGGCACAAAACTAGAGATTATTTCTTGAAACAGACAAACGCCACAAACTCAAGGATACCAAACTAACTCAGCTGTAAAAACACCTTTGCACAACATGAGAACAGAGTTCTTCTTCACAGAACTTAAGGTACCAGAAACTCACAGGAACTCCATTTTTTAAAACTTTCACTCGGTCAAAAGCTCTTCCACGCGTTTCCAAATGCATTTGAGGAAATACATTTATTCCCCAGAATCCCTTCAGCTATGTGCATGAACCGTGCTGATTGTCAGCTACAACCATCCCTCACATGAATCCAAGCCAAGTGCTCTCAGTTAGTTTAGTGCAACTTTCCATCAAATACAATCAAAATAGACCTTTCTTCAGCTACAAAATACACTTACAAGATAAGAGTTTATAAATTATGATGTTTTTTTCTTCTTTTTTGTTGCTACATATGAAGCATGCTGTTATAGTAACACAGATGTTGTAGTAGAAGTAGCAGTAAAGTGATTAAGGTTTCTTCATGTATCTTCCAGCACGAAGCAAAAACGAGACAAATCTGAAGAACGGAGGAGAAACTTTCTGCTGCTGTTAGGAAAAAAAAAAACAATTATGTGAATTTTAAATAACGGGTCAACAAATCATTATCATTATTTAAAGAAATGTTTTCTACTTTCAACATCCAATCAATTAAATACTTTAGAGCAGGGGTCTTCAATGTTGGGGTTGCAACCCCTAGTTGGGTTGTGGAGGCACTGCATGGTAGGGGTCGTGCAATTTGTTGTAAGTTGTGTTTAAATGAACACAATTGATAAATGGAGGCAGACAACTGTGTATTTTTGTCAGAAATGCACACATTGAGTGAGAACACCATCTGAACTCTGCTTCACCTAAAGCCTGACCCTGTATAACACAGTAGTGTGTGTGTGTGTGTGTGTGTGGGGGGGGGTCTTTGCTCTGGCGCTCCATCAGATTGGGGGTCCCAGACTGAAAAACATTGAAGACCCCTGTTTTAGAGAAAGATTAGACAAAAAGCCAATAATAGTTGCCTTAATTTCGAAAAACGCCAAAAAAGTTGAGTTGTAAAAATCTTTAGGAAAACAGAGGTATGGCAAGAAGATGGCAATGTTTATCAAACTTTTCATCAGATGTACAACTACAATATTTGTGAAGTTTTTTCACCTTGTATAAGTGTTTCAATACATCAACATTGAAACAACTTTATGCAGCTGTTTTTTTTTAATGTTTTTTTTTTTTTTATATTTGGGGTTCGCTGCTCCTTCAGCAGCTTTGGTGTGCAGTGGATCAGTAATAGTGTGCTATGACTTTTGTTTGCAGTATATCTTACCACAATGATGAAATGAGCAAAAAACAAAACTAAAATAAATACTTCCTTCACAGATAACAGGATTTTGGTGAAACAAGTGAGAAAACCAGCCCTCCTTCACAGTAGAGACATCATTCAAAGTTAAAACAGATCACTGGAAGTTGGACTTTTTGAACTGGTTTTTAATATTTTTAAAGGTTTTTCCAGAGCTTGTCCAATGACATGGGATAAAAAAATAAAATAATTTAATGAGTGGCCATAAGATAACTACTGCAGTCATTTACATACAGACTATTGATTGTTTATGTGGACAAGTTTGAGTTGATTTCATTTTAATATAGGAATGAATGACATACTTCAGTGGTTATGAAGTAACTCTTAGTGTTAAGCAGGGAAACATCTAAAAATCACTGCTTTAAATGTTGACCAACACCTCAAGAGCTTGTCTGAGCTTGATGAGACATTTTAAAAATGTAATATTTACTTAGTTTTATGTTTTTTAGTATTGCTTCTGGAAGCCATTGATTCTTTGCAATTTATTTGTAAATAATAAATCAGATAACGTGTATTAAAGCAGTGATTCCCAACCCTGGTCCACAAGGACTCCTTTCCTGCATGTTTAGATGTTTCCCTGATTTGACACACCTGGTTTGAATGAATGAGTGATTAACAATCTTCTGAAGACCTGCTGAATAGCAGGGAAACAAGTAAAACATGCTGGATAGGGGGTACTTGAGGACCAGGGTTCACTGACCTAGAGTGGTCATTTTGATCTTGTAAATACTAGTAGGCTGTACAAAAACTGAACCGTTTCAATTGAACCATGGAGGTTACTCTTTGGATTAAACATACATCATAAACAATAAAATACTAAGTGTGGGGCATCTTTTAACAGTTTAAAACAAAAACATATTCATATAAAACCAACAATGTCTGAATCTCTCACAAAAAGACTCCACCAAAAATGATTTTTTTAAAAGTTATCTTTAAAAAGTATTTATCCAGTGTCACAGGAACAGCTCTGAATGTTTTTACACAGTCACAGTTTAAATTGTATGATTACTGGAGACTTTACCATGGACTCTTCAACTCTGAGTAAGATTAGTCAAACATTGGAGGTGTCCAATGGCATGTGGAGCAATCCAAAGTTTTTGCAAACAAATTCTTATTTACACAGTTTTTGTACTTTTTGTAAAGTTTACATGTCAAAACACATCTTTTGGCTTCTGTCAGCCAGTGTGTTTCCCACAGCTACAGGGCTGAATCCACCCCCCGGAGTGTGCACATCGTTGCCCACCTTTAAAGTTGTGCTGAAAATCCAGTTTCCTCTCAGTCGTTTGGAACAAATAAAATAAAACTAGAAACAAACTGCAATTTCCTTGGGACAGTCAAATTATTTCCTCTTTTCTTACTTTGTTTTTGAAAACTAAAAACAAAATCTCGATCTATGAGATTTTTTTTTTTTTTTTTAGCTTATTAATGGCAGGTAAAAATCATAATTATGATCAGGCAACATCAAATAAACAAATCTACAAGATTTTATTTTCGATTCTTTCAACAACCTGCACAAATAAATATGTTTTACCAGACTACTACTTTCACTTGACAACATGTAAGAAGTTTCCATATAAAATATAAATATTAACAACGTAAACCAACGACAGCAAACACACATTTTACACAAAATACTGTCGGGTTAAATTTACATTCTTCTCAGAGGATGAGAGCAGAAACAGAAAAAGATAAACAATGTGTCATGAGTGGTTTTATTTCCTGCAGAGCTCTGTAGGTCACATCTCCACCTGGTTCTGTGTGGACCAGAGCCAATTCAAAACCTAAAAGGCAGGTTTGTAAAGAGCAGCGTCTCCTCGGTCTGAGCCGATCTGCAACTCAGGATACATTCATGTGTTCGCTCAGACATGGGATGAACTGCCCCTGAAAGCTCCTCTGGCAGTTTCTCAATGCCTCAAAGGAAGCAGAGGTTCATCAGAACTGTCAAAGAAAGACTTATCAGCACTTAAGTTTGGATTTAATTCTAACAAATAGTCTGGTTTTAAATAATACCATAAAAGTGGAACAGCTCTTTTATTGAACTGTTGACTCAGGTCCACCCTGCTGGACTTGTGCTTTTAGACCTGAGGGTCTGCTCTAACTCTGGATCAAAACATCTGTACCTCGACTGGAACCGTGTGCAGGGATTAAAGATTCTACCTTACGGTGGTTCTGGTCCCACCTGACAGAAATGTAACTCTGGGTTTAGATAACTGAACTGTTTTTGTACATGGAGTTCCTCATGGAGTCATTCTGGTCCCAGTCCTGTTCCACCTTTACATGATGCCTTTGAGGTCTACCAGAAAAAAGATTATTTTTTCATTTCTATACAAATCTATGTGTCCTTGTTTTACTGCAGTTTGGCTTGGCTTTGAGGAATGTTGGGAACCAATAACTTCACTTTTCTCTCTGGCTCTAGAATATCAAGTTATAATCATGTAAATGTTTCTGCCACAGACCATATACCCCCACCCCTGGATACCATGATATTATGTAAAGATGTCAGTAAAGATCATTATTGCCGGGCCCCAGAAAACAAAGACATGGATAAATTTAGTCTTTTTAATAGATTATTTCATTTGAAGAGGCCGTTTCTGCTGAGAACTCTTTCCTTGGTCTCTTTTTGTTCTTGTAAGTCAGCTTTCTGTGGAACAACCTTGAGATAACTGACAGCTCCTTTCAACTTCAGAAACACGTCAGCACAAAGACTTGTAGTCAATCTGTCTCTTCAAGATTTTGAAAATGTTATTTTGACCCATTTTGACTACTGCAGTTCTTTGTGAGTTCAAATCCTTTTGTTGGTACAAAATGCTGCAGCCCAACAACTGGCCATAAAGATGAACACATGACTCCAGTACTGGTCTCACTGCATCTGCAGTGTTCAGTACAGCAGTGGCTTTTGTAAGTGGGGTCTGAACCCCAGAGTGGTTCATGAAACATAAGCTGTGTTTCCATCCAATTTTAATTCAAAATTTGAGCAAACTTTTAAAATTTTACAAAAAGGAAAAAACTAAGAAATGCGAATCAGACGTGTTTCCATCACCTGGCTTGAAGAGAATCAATTACATCAGATGCATGTGTGTAGTAAACAGGAAGTAAAAGTCGCCAACTCACAGGGTCCACACTTCTCAGGTTAATGGAGAGAAGTTATCAGCAACGTGTTGCTACTATCGGGAAAGTTATACCAACTAGTTTTAACGATGTTGCATGCTGTCTGGAGATGTAGAGAAAGAAATGTAATTCTCTTCACATTAAGGGAATAACTGAGAATACACTGACAGCGGGAGGAGGGTCCAGCTGCAGTCGCTCTGGTATCGGTATCGGTACCATTCAGACAGTGGGAACAGCTGATCAACACGTGAGGTAAATGTTCGCTAAGTCAGAACTTATTCAACCAATGTCTCCAAATCTCTCCTTTTGCGCATTAACTCTTTTTTGAAAAAACAAACAAAAAAAAATAAAAAACACCTCAGGCGAGTGTATCAACTTTTATGCAAATTAGAGGAAGTTTTTTCAAATCATGCCATTTCCATTCACCTTTTCTAATGCGATACTTCAAAATGTGAATTAAAAAACCTTGATGGAAACACGGCTAGTGAGTGGGACGAACCCAACACTAACCTCCCCCCTCACGACTGCAGACAGGCACCAGTTCTCCAGGACCCTGCACAAAAAGTGGGTAAAGGAAAACTCCTGATCCAGCAAGAAAATCTTTCTATTTTCTTTCTTTTCAATAGAAGAAAAGGAGAAGATAGGAGAAGAGCTGACCTCCTGCTGACCTGGAAAAAGGTTCAACTAAAGTCTGAGACCAAGATCCTCTAAATTGGTCTTATTTTAAATCGTCCTGATTGTCTGAAGGTCTTTCAAAGTGGTGAAATTTTATTTCTTGTTTTGTTTCAGCGCAGTTCTAAAGCCAGTTCTGTAGCTTTCTAGAGCCAAAAGAGAAGTTAAATGAATCAATGGGTTCTTGAGAACCGGGTCAGGTTCTGTTTTCACACTTGGTCTGTAAGTAACTCTGAACCAATCACAGCCATTTTTACGTAAGAAATAAAGTTAAAAGAAACGTTTTCTATTTTATTCAGAATCTGTTTGTGCTCACATTTAAAGGTTTATATTCCTGCTCATCAAAATATCCTGAACTATGATTTATTCCTGTTTTTATTCCACAGAAAATACCAAATACACAACTAAAACCTTTAGATGGTGTGACAACACAGTTGAGTTGTTTTTATTGCTTTCTGGTTTCAAACCCTGTTTGTATGTAATAAAACGATTCAGTAACTATGTCTTTTGAATTAGATGATGTAATAACATTTAAAGGGGTTAGATATGCAAGCGCAGACTTCTGTTTGTGAAGAATATTGATTTAGCGCTTTGAATTTGAGTTGTTTTTATTGCTTTCTGGTTTCAAACCCTGTTTGTATGTAATAAAACGATTCAGTAACTATGTCTTTTGAATTAGATGATGTAATAACATTTAAAGGGGTTAGATATGCAAGCGCAGACTTCTGTTTGTGAAGAATATTGATTTAGCGCTTTGAATTTTTTGCACTACATAGCACGGTGGTGCTGTGGTTAGTGCGGTCATCTCACAGGAAGAAGGTCGTAAGTTTGCCTCCCAGCCTTTCTGTATGGAGTTTACATGTTCTCCCTGTGCACATGTGGGTTTTTTCAGAGTATTCCGGTTACCATAAACCCCACCCCCATCCTAAGATAAAGAAAAATGTTTGGGTGATTGATAACTCTAAATCAGGGGTGTCAAACTCCTGTCCTCGAGGGCCGCTATCCTGCATGTTTTAGAGGTTTTCTTGCTCCAACACACCAGATTTTGATCGCTGGGTAATTAACAGGCTTCTGCCCAATTTGAAGAGTTAATTCAATCACTGAATCAGGTGTGTTGGAGCTGGAAAACCTCTAAAACATGCAGGATAGCGGCCCTCGAGGACTGGAGTTTGACACCCCTGCTCTAAATTATCCCTGGTATGAGCGAGTATGTGAATAGTCATTTGTCTCTGTATGTCCCTGTGATGGACATGTGACCTGTCCAGGGTGTCCCGCCTCTCGGACAGCGACAGGCACCAGCTCCCCCATGACACAGAAAGAAAAAAGTGGGTAAAAAACTGGACAGATGAATAATGTTGCTCTAGTTACCAGAAGAAAGACTCTAGTTTTGAGTGAATGAATAATGAACTTCATAGAAATTGGAGAAATTAATCCTTGTAGATTATAATCTGGAAGCAGGAATCACTATTTGGATTCCTGATACTTTTCCACAGATTATCCCACTGGAATAAACCCACTCAGTAACAGCACTGGCTCCTCCTCTCTCTAGTCCTCATCTACAGGTCTAAGCCTCGTACCCGGTGGACCGGCGCCGCTGGTGGTTCCAGATGTCGTCTCTGTGTTCGGGCCGACAGAACAGCCGGGACGACTGGGCCAGACGTTCTCGGCGCTCCCGCTCCAGGCCCACTTTGGAGAACTGAGAGGAGGACGAGGACTGTGCTCTGTTGTCATGGAGGGCAGAGGAGAAGAGCTGACCTCCTGCTGACCTGGAAGAAGATTCAACCAAAGTCTGAGACCAGGATCCTCTAAAGACATCAGACTGTGGCACCAGGAGATAATCTCATGAGTTCTTTATAGAAGAAAGTTTACTACAGGAGATTTCTACAAGAACAAACTTTAGATTTCTGGGTCCAATCTGAATATATTTTAGTTTTATTACCAACTAATCTCATCTGCTTATTTTAAGATGATAAAAAATCCAATATCTCAATATGTTGTTATTTCAAGTTATTTTGATTAATTATAGGAAAGAAAAGCCCAGGGTTTTCAGCTTTACATTGCATGACTTAATAAAAATGATCAGGGGACTCATGCATTAACAGTGCGTATGCACAAAAAACTTGTGTACGCCATTTTCCACGCAAAACTCCAGATGTATCAAAACTCAACTGAACGTGGAAATGTGCGCAGCCCCACGTCAACTCCAGGGCTGGTGTACGCACGTTTCTGTGGGTTTGGTTTTATTGGAGGCACTTAGAGGTGATTCTGAGAAACTGTTCATGAAGTGAAAATGATTATTGTTCACAGCAGACACACATGATTAACAATTATTAATACATGGACACATGGACGCAGTTAGATAAAAGACACGCAAAGTTGTGCCAAAAATACATTCAACAGGAACTGATTCAGCCTTACTGGAGGATATAATAAATAGTGAAACACGCAGAGCTTTAATTTACAAACAGATATAATTTTCTGATGACGAGTAGCTCATCAGCCGTTTTCAGGAATAATCATTTTTCAGTTTGGAACTACTGCGCTCTGGAGCGCGACGCAGCGTGCACCACGCGTGCATGTGCAGCAGCGATCAAACTGGGGTTCCACAGGAGCTTTCCAGAGGGAGCTGGCAGACCCATCAGGACTGTGCCAGTCCAGTCCACCCAAAACAGAGTCATGACCAATGGAATCGTCTCATCCATCTGATTCTAAAGGCTGAGTTATGATCGCACTCTGGAGCGCACACCCTCGCCAGCAGTAGAGGTGTTTGGCATTTACTTTGTTGTAATTTCTCCTAAATGGCACGTGGAAGTACACTTTACAACTTGTGAAAATGCTGTAAGTAGGAGAGCAAAAGCTTGACAGACAGACAGACTGCGTACAAAGGCTGCGGTGCGCGCAGCCTTTGTGGAGACTCTCCAACATCACGTCATATGAACTCTACTGAGACACAGAGACTCGTTTCTTAATATCAGCTATGAAATAAAATAAGATCTATGTTCTACCAAACACTTAAGTTCCTCTATGTTTACAGTAATTATGGTAATAAACTCGTGCGCAAAGTTAATATTTTCAGACTCAGAATAGATAGATGAGCCAGTTGCGCAACGCAGCAGCGTGCGCGCGCGCACACACATACCACACACAATCACATGTTCTTTACATGACAAACATATTCTTATTTTTACTTAGGATTTTTTTTCTCACTCACATTATATTAAATTCATTATTTCCCTGACTCTAGAAATCATTTCTGATCGCGCAGGGATCAAACAAACGTGTCCTTCACACATACAGGAAGTAATTTGCATCTGTTTAACATATGTTAATGAAGGCGTGTCGGGAGGTGTCTCACATGCGCTCAGCTCCACGTTAATTGTGATGTACAAAAGAAATGTGCGTGGATTCAGGCGTACGCACAGTAGGTCTAAAACCTCTGAAATCACTGACTTTAATGAAAAGATAAATCAGTCATTAAACAGTTGCTGCTACAGTTTTCTAACCACAGCAGCTCCACATATAAACATATTACAGAAAACAGAAGCAGACTCTCTTTCCTCAGTTCTGACAGAGACCTGATGAGATATTTCACCTGCTGAGGCGAGAATTAAACATGACGACTCAGAAACATGACAGGCGACATGACGATGCTCCTGAATAACTCAGCAGAAAATCTGTCAGCATTTTGCTTTGATTCCGACCAACAGAAATCTGAGAAACTGAAACGGGTTAGTTTACAAATGTATGTTCTTGTTAGCCTCTCTGTCAGATTAAAGTTAGCTGTAATCTCCCATTTTACAACCATAACCCGTTTTCGTTCTTAAAATTGTCTTAAAAGCTTTCCAGGTTTGGCAAGTTGCAATTATTTTCTGGAAAACAACTAAAGAAGTTAAATATGATTTATCATCATTGTTCCTGTTTATTGAAATTTCTCAGTGAAAAAAAACATCTTTGTTTTGATTTGTTATATTCAACACTTTACAAACTCCTTTCAACTGATTGATCGGTTCAATTAAAAAAGAAAAAAATAAAGACTCACCTGCTTTTAGTGATTCGATGAGGGCCAGTATCAGTTTGCTGATGAAGACAGAAAGAAGATGAGGTTTTTATTTCAGCACTCGGTGAACACATACGAGCAGAAACATACTATAAATTGGGTATAAAGTCATGTGGGGAGGAGGGGGCGGAGCCTGTTACTGCTAGGTGAATCACTGCAGCATGTAACAGAACAAGTATTATCATCTTTTACCTTTGAAATTTGTTTATTTTGGGTCACTAGTATAGCCCTGCACTATGTGAAAACATCCAGAAACACCATCATCATCTCTGGACCCAAGCTTGTTTACAATAAACAGAGGAAAACAGAAAACTGTTTTTGCCGTTGGACAAATCCAAATTATTTTTTTTTTAAACCAAGAATATCACATCCTTCGTACTAAAGAGGATGGGAACATCTGGCCTGTTATCAGCAATCAATTCCAAAATCTGCCTCTCTGATGGTATGGGGGTACATTAATGCCTATAGAATGGGCAGCTTACACATAGAAATGCACCATTAATGCAGAAAAGTACAGACAGGCTTTAAAAATGTTTGGGCACCCCTGGTCTAGAACCACCTTTTGTGACCTGCTCCTCCTCTGGGCTGTGTCTCCAAACTGAGCCTCCTCATCACAGAGCACACACACCCAACATACTGCCCAACACTAACAAAAACAAAGAGAGCCTAACCAAAGATAACTTTGTCCTACAGCCAGTTCTGAGTTAGCCTGGTAAAAACCAGTCTCTTGTCTTTGCTTCATACAGAGGGTCTGGACTCTCAATTATTGAGAAATGATTTCTTACTGGAGGGGTGGCCTCTGTTGACGTTTAAAACGATTGGATCTGATTTTACCCAGTCACTAATGCTTTGGCTGAGAGGTATGTAGCACTCCAGCTCGACTGTGAAGGAAGCAAGCTAAGGAGCTGACATGAAACTGCGTGTGCTCTAAACAACCATCCCCTACTGAGAGGAGAGACGTATCAAACTAAATGATGCTGCAGGCTTTGAGAGACAAATTTGATCTAATATTGTCAACACAGACTAGCTTCATTCACCTCCTCTGCTGCCATTGCTAAACTACAGACAGACAAAAAGAGCAGAGAATGTCATCGTTCACAACTCCTCCTTCTGTTCTCTGATTGGTCCAGTTGAAATTCTACCAGAGGAATCCTCGTCTATGGGAGAAATCTCAGATGGAGCAGAGAAGATTATCAAGCAGAATTGTGTGTGAAGGCAAGGGCCAGGCTATGTGTGAAGTGTTGTACCTTGTAATGGCTGCACTGTGGTGTGCTGCCGTTAACGTGGTAATACTCCACCAGCCTCTCAGCCAGAGCGATGCGGCCCAGCAGGTTCTCAATGAAATGCTGGATCCGAACTTTGCCACTGGTCTCCTGCCGAGCCGCTGCCTCCAAGAACTTCTGGATGGTTAAAACCTCCCTGCAAATGAAGAGTGATAAAAATGACGCAGGCCCAACAGGTGGAAGAGCCTCCTACAGCTCCAGATGCTCTCACCTCTCTCTGCGCTCCAGCTCGTTCTCCGAGGCGTTCAGCTGCTCCTTCAGCGCAGCGATCACCATGACGGCCACATCTACCTGCCGGCTCAGGGACCTCTCCCTGTCGGCCACCTCCTGCCGCTCCTGGGCCAGGTGCTGGGAGTGAGCGCGCTCGCAGAGCAGCTCTGTGTCAGTCCTGGCCAGCTCGGTGCTGAGCTGGGCCAGCCGGCGCTGCATGGTGCTGTCGGCGGCCCGCAGGATCCGGGCCAGCCGTCGACGCACTGCCGCCGAAGCCGCTGCCGTCTCCACTCCGGAGAAGGAGCTCTGAGCTGCGGGAGACAGGAAGCACAGGAGTGACTGCAGATACAGACTGGGAGCTTTCATACGTCCACTAAAGAGATCAAAACCCAGACGCACCAACCAGGTCCAGGTCCTGGTCTTGGTCTGGGTTCAGGTCTAGAGAAGCTGGAGCGGGGAACAGGAGGTAATGATGTTGGGGGCACATGTCAGATTTTCTAATGGATACTTTTGTGTCCTGATCATCTCTACTTCCACGTTTGTCTTCACCGTAATCTTCCTCCTCCTCCTCTTCTCCTGTATCGTCATCCTCCTCCCCTCCCTCCACCTCTTCCTCCGCCTGCGTCCTCACCCCCACCCTCTGGGTGCGCCTCCTCACAGAGCTGTAGGGCTGCAGGTCTCTGCCGTCTCTGCTGTCGCTGAGGGAGCGAACGTGAGGCGGTCTGACGGCCCCGTGCTGCCCCCTGCGGGTCGGGAGGCTCATGTCCTGCCAGGGAATGGCCGCCGTCAGCGGGTCGGGGAGTTTCCCGGTGATGCTGAAACCTCCGGAGGTCAGGTCTGGTGAGCAGTACGAGTGTCTGTATTCCAGGTGGGCGCGGAGTGAGGCCAGGCTGTGGAAGCGCTCCAGCTCGTCGCAGCGGGGACAGCGGAACGGGAGCGAGCAAGAGGCGACAGAGTGTAGGACGGCGCCACAGGCCTGACCGTTCCTCTCCAGGTGGAAGGAACCAGAACCTCTGGAACACAACTTCTGCTGCATCACTTTACACCTGAGATACAGGAAAACAGACAGGAGCAGATATGATCAGGAAGATGAGGAATAAAACTTTTACTGATGCTTTAAATACTGAAAACACCCCTTAATATCAGGTTTTTAAACAAATAGCGAACATCTTAAATTAGTTTAATTATTTTAAATAAAATTTAACAATAGGCGTGTAAGAAAATATCGATACACTGAAATATTGCGATATTTCATTTCCCGATACTGTATCGATATTCTAAAGCCCTGTATCGATTTTTTATTAAGGTTTAAAATGTCAACTTTCCTGCCAGCCATTCATTTTATGTTGTAGTTCAGCCTCTGACCACTAGTTGGCAGCAGTGAGCCAGCCATTTGGTTCCTCTACCTCTTGAGTGCCAGAGAGTAAGAGAGCATTAGCATTGTGAGTAAACATTAGCTTCATGCTCCGATAGCTGAATCTGAGCGGAAAAGACCGACACCCTCTGCCTTCTAAGCTGAGGTAAGGTTACAAACAGTTACTTATCTGTCAGAATGTCTGTATTTTAAGATAAATTAAGTGTTTTGTGAGCTCTTTTTTCCAACTGTAGTCAGCTTTCACGTTACGCATATAGCGCATGCGTCTATCACCTCGAGCGAGCTCGGCACTCCCCCGTGACATAAATGTCCGGCTGATGATCGCATCAAAGTCCATATACTTTATCCTGCTGTGTTCGCTTCAAAAACATTTTAACTCGTTTAGCTTCTCAATTTCTTAACTGGTTTTCTTCAGGACCTGCCCTGCTGTTAACTGGTTTTCTTCAGGACCTGCCCTGCTGTTCGACCCATAGTTCTACAAATCATGTTCTGGATGCAGGTCAGCTGATCCCAGAAACTCTGTGTGCAGCAGCTTCATATCATCTGTTTACTGAACTTTATGACAACATAAAGGCTATTGTTAAGTGTTGGGTGACCATATTGTAAATTAATATTAAAAACTAAAAGCTGCAAAAAATATATTTTCAAACTATTTATTGGCAAATTTTGTCTAATAATTGAAAATATGGATGAAACAAGAAATATGAAACAAATAAAATAAAACACATACAAAGCACAACACAGCTAAATGTATCAAAAGCATGTCAATATAATATTAGAATTTTCTAAGACAATGAATTTTGGTTTTTCATTTTTGTTTTCTTCCTTCCAGTAAGAGGTTTTTATTTAATAGAATTTTTGGACCAAAAATATCGCAATATATCACCTTGTTTACAGTAACAAAATATATCGGGATATATCGTATCGTGACCCCTCTGTCATGATATGTATCGTATCGCCAAATTCTTGCCAATACACAGCCCTAGTTAACAAACCAACTGCAAATTCTCTCATTGCAGTTGCCCAACATTTTCTCCACTGTGGTTATTGATGTGCTTTCTCAGGTCCGTTTTGTTTATCAGACTGATGCTGACAAAATGCATAAATCAAACATTTGAGCCAACCATTTATTGCATTTTTTAATTTTTTTATTTATTTGCAAATATGCCTATTAAACAGGCTGTTATTAATGTGCAAATTTCCCCACTGTGGGATCAAGTTTTATCTTATCTTATCTTATCTTGATGTCAATAAATTTGCAATATATTGTGCAGTCCTAGCTGAGAATGAATCTTAGCTATTTCCACAACAAAGTTTAACTTGTTAACTTTAAAGTGCCTGTGACATCAAATTTTTGTAATAAATTGAATGTATTTTTGAAAAAATAACATTGATAACATACTGTAAAACAGATTTTACACATCTGAGATGAACAGTTGAGATACTCACATGTAAAGAAACAGGAAGTGATGTCAAAGGGGAATTTCTGAATGTAAACAGAGCATTGCTAAAATGGCTAACACAGACTGTAGAGACGAATCTGAGTTTTCTTTAGATTATTTTAATCACTATCATAGAGAGATGAGGCAGAGTCATAGTTCAAATAATAATGTTTCAATAAACAAAAACCGGGAGTTTTCTTTCTCAAAGAGTTCCCCTTTGATGTCACTTCCTGTCTCACTTTAGCTGAGCCAAATTCAAAAGAAAATAGGCCAATTATGTGACATAATGCGTAAAATCATGTGTGTTATGCCACGTGTCTTGAATATAAAAATGTAATTTATTTGACTTTTTGTATGTCATGAATATGCATGTCACAGGCACTTTAACATTACCAAGTATTTTTTTCTCCTCTATGGTTGATTAGCTGTGGTGATATTTTGAGTAGAGTTAACTTCAAAAGTTTTTTTTAGAAATACATGTATACCCAATAATTATTTTCTGATGGCTTCATTAAAATTAATTATAGAAAAAAAGGGGCAGATATTATAAGTTTTTTCTTCTTTCTGCCTCCTTTCATTTCAATTTGATTTGTATACTTTTTTGTGTATTTATGTTGTGTATATCTTTTGTTTTTAATGTGTATAAAATCTTTGGTTTTAAATTAAATTAATAAACAGTTTAAAAATATGTCTGCTGGTAGATGAACATTTTGCTTACAGACAGACAGAACTATTGAAAAGAGTAAAAACAAAGTTTAAAACAAACATTTTAAACATCTGTTGTTGAGTCCAGATAATACAAGTTGCAGATGTATTAGAACATTTTGCCATGCTATCTGTTCTGCTGAGCTATTGTTTAATTTGCAATGACAGTTTAATTTCTAATAAACCTACATTTTCCTCACTTCCTCTTCTGTGATCGATCATCTACACCAGACAATCAAGGCCAGTAAGAATCAGCTGGACTAAACTTGAACACATGATACTTGAAATGGATTATAATTTACTGCTGTCCAAGCATCCATCATCTATACCCACTTCTTCCTTTCAGGGTCACTGGTGCCCAAATCCAGCAGTCACAGTGTGAGGGGTGGGGTACACCCCTGATAGGTCGTAAGTCCATCACAGGGCCACACATAGAGACAAACAACCATTCACTCTCTCACTCACACCTAGGGACAATTTAAAGTTACTAATTAACCTAACAGTCATGGTTTTGGTCTGTGGGAGGAAGACCTGGAGAAAACCCACGCATGCATGGAGAGAACAGGCAAACTCTACACCGGGCTGGGATTTGATCCAGCAACCTTCTTGCTGAGAGGCAACAGCTCTACCAACTGAGCCACCGTGCCGTTGTTCATGCAGCCTTTTCAATATTGTAAACATACACACATTTCATAGTTTGTGTCAAACTGTGATAGTTTTGGTATTTTTCATCATCATGTCTTGTGACAGGCTGTTAGTAACAAAGAGCCTCATGAGCCAATTTTTAACTTTGCTCTTACATCGACAACTCTGGTTCATCCCCTAAGTAAAAAATATCAAATTACATTTACTATTAAATCATACTGGGTATGAACTTTGTGTATGTAATTATTTACATTTTTATTTTTACTTTTATGTGTGTTTATTTCATGTATTGTACATTTTAAATCCCATCCGTTACTTAGTAAACCTAGTTTACCTAATTTCCCTCTGGGATCAATAAAGTATTTTGAATTGAATTGAATTAAAAACATTACAAACGTAAACATGAATAAACAAAACGCTGAACCACAACTACTTAAGTGACTGTATTTATTTCTTACCAGTCAGTTGGTGTATGATCTGGCTAGAAGTGATGATGTGTTTTCTGATAAATAAACCCATAAATACTGAGTATAAACTCCGTCCACTCAGCAGGCTGCTTTGTTCATCTGCATGAAGTGAAACTCAGCAGACATGCACCTGTCACCTGTTAACTGTCAGGCACCTGAACCTCCACCTCAACTTTTGTTCAAGTTAAACTAAAAAACAAAGCTGCTGTAACTCAAGTTAAAGGAAGGAAGCTGCTTCATCATCTGGTAGCTGTGTTAGCTCAGAGGTATTTAAACCTGCGGTCTGTGCTGCTGAGTTTAAAACATGTGTTTGCTCTGTGAGTTAAAACAAACCTGCCATCATTTAATAGGAGGCCTTGTTTAATTTAGACAAGCATCAGGGTCTTACTAGAGCTGTAGTAGCTGTAGGCTAACTAGTTATCATAACTAACTCTATACCAGGATGTGATCATAAAGAGAGAGCATCGTTAACTCCCAAACTCCAGTCTGAAAACATGTCAGAGAACCAACAAGTGGACCGGGTCTAATTTAAACATACAGGCTGAGAAAAATGATACATTTCTATATGCATTTTTCTTATAAATGTACATAATTTATCTGATAACTGTAATTTTGGTTTCAGTAGACCAGCTACAGCGGGTAAAATAAGTATTGAACACGTCACCATTTTTCTCAGTAAATATATTAC